TATATATATATTAAAATAGAAACCTAAGAAACTTACAGGACATGTCAGAGAGAATAAGGGAGAATATTCCTAGTCCCTGAATGTTTCAGTAGACAGTATTTTGATACAAAGAGATAACTGCTCAGAAAATGGTATCACACTTCAATTTACTGCAGCTATACAGCATTAGGCTAATTTGACAGGACTACAGAATTAATTTAGAATCTCCCCAAAAGCTAATTTTACATATATACAGTATACATTTTTTTTACCTGGGTTGCTATCTATGAAAGGACTGTGCTTGCAACTCTGAAACAAATTTAGAAGTATCATTTTATGTTTCTTAACTTTTTAATATAACAAATAGGGAAACGTTTTAGGATGGGGCCGACCATGAGCTGAACTCAAACTCAAATCATTTTGTGGTTTGCAAAAAAATCACAAATGAATGTGATCATTTACTGCCATAGCACCTAAATACCAATCATGCATTTCCTGGTGTTTGAACAATGGTTAAGTGGTTTAGAAGTGTCAATCATGGTGGTTTTCAAATGTGCCAGCCCCTCCCAATAAAGGCCAAGTCAATACAGCACAAGGGATTATGCTATATTGTGCTACATTAGAGTAAATTGCAATATGGTGGGTTACATAGTGTATATTGTATCCCCCCAATATTTACTGTGCTGTATTGTAGTCATGGGCTCGATGTTCGAGTTGAACAATAGTTCAACTTGAACTTTGCTAGTTCGTGTGTTCAATGAACATACAAATTGTCAGCGCGTTCAGCTGGCTGTTCGCCCTGATTGGGTAAAGCAATGCAATAAAGCAATGCGATGCGATGGTTGTAAGGTACCTAAAAGAACGTACAATCTGCCTATCTTGCATAGCGGGCTTCCGATGACCGCAATGCTGAACGGGCAGTGTGCGCTTCCGCACACCGGCCCGTCTGGCTTTTATCTTACGAACATGCTACACACCCGCCGAACATCGTACGATGCTCGGCGGGTTTTCAAACATGTTCGTAAGTTAAAAGTCGTGTGACCTTACAGTAGTAGAGGTCGCACGGCTTCCACACACCTTACGATAATCGTAATCCTACGATTATCGTATGGTGTGTGGGCACCTTAAGGCTGCTTACATGGCAACCTTATGTAAAAATCGGAACACCGTCACCGGTGTTCCGATTTTTCTTTTAAATTTGTTTTCTTTTATTATTTGTATTTGTTTTCTTTTTTTATTTGTTTTCAGCACAGGGTTCTTTTGCTGCCTCATTTCTCTTCCCCTTCTGTGTTGCAGGTGTTCATGTTTTTTTTATAGTTTATAGTTAGTTTATAGTGCACCAAGCACAAAATTTGATAAAGTATTGCACCCAAGCACCAATTTCCCATCCCACATTATCTTATAATAAGCCCCAAATCATGTCTGAAAGGCCAACAAGCAGACAGGTGTATGACCGGTATATATAATTGAATTTTTAGAGCAGGGTGCAGTCCTGCACTCGCCAAGAAAAACTGAAGGGTTACAGTGTGAAAGCACCGTCAACACTAAAGGCCAAATTGTAAAGCACCTGTTGTTACTTTCATCCAACGTCCAATACTGCTCCATTAAAATATTTTTTTTTTATTCATTAATGTCCCCCAGGGCAGTACCTGAATCCCCATACACTTTTTATGGCCAATAACTTGCATATAAGCCTTCAAAATGGGGTCATTTGATTTTCTGAGTTCCGGTCCCATAGACTTACATTGAGTTCTAAGTATGAGTTCGATCTTTTTCCATGTTCGAAAGTTCGATTTAGAACTGTTCAGCCTATTACTACTATATTGTACTACACGACTGTGAACTGCATTCTGGGGGGTTAAATATAATTATTTACCACCATTTGTGTTCTCAGTGCATAGTCATAACAACAGTCTTTTTCAAACTGTCTTTTTGTGTGTTTCAGCAAAAACCTCTGTTGCTGTTTAGCTGTTGGACCACACTTTGCATTTTTTTTGTGAGACGTTTTATTGTATTTTTTTTCTTTCATGTTTTCACATATTTTTTAAAGTTTCTGATATGTAAAAAATTGCTTTTTTTCTTAGTGTTTTAGGTTTGATGTTTAGTGTTTTTAAGGTTGCAATTTAGGTTTTTTTGTGTTATTTTTTGTAGGGAGGTATATTTTATTTCCATATATTTTTGCTAGCATGTTTACATTTTTTGCATGGAATTGTTGCTGACTCAAGCAAAGCTGCCCTTTGTTTGCAGCACTGCACCGCATACTAGTGCAGTACAGTTTAGAGCACCAAATCATCACTTTGTTAAATGCACCAAGGCACCACACCCTCAATTCCCATATTGCCAAAGCTGCTAATAAGGTAAGGCAATCAAATGTATACATCATGTCTGGGAGACTGAAAGGGAAAAGCATAGGTTCTTTATATGCAGCTATTAGGGTGCTATCCAGTTCTGCATGCACAGGGCAAAGCCATGATTGGCTCCAACCTTTGCGAGGCAAGGTACTGCGGCCTTTTCTTTTTGGCAAATGCACCCACTTCTTCTTCCTTCTCTACAATTAATACTGGCATTGCCCCACAAACTGGCATTATTTTTTCAGCACAGCACGGGTAACTGGATGCAGGAGAATACTAAAAAAATACTTGTTATCAGATGGGGAGGAAGAGTGCACCAGGAGCACAGAGAAAGGGGAAAACAGGCAGGGAGACACAATTGCCACTTATGTTCCTGCAACTATAGCTTACAGCAAAATGGGCTACAGGGATAATGAGGATGGGGAGGTGACAGACCATACCTTGGTGTCAGAGATTGTAGAGAAAGAAAGTGAGGGAGAGGCAAAACACCAGTGAATCTGAATGGGAACGGGCAGGACCAACTTTTAGAGAAAATGGAGGTAGTCCTACAGATGGCACTACCCCACAGGTGCAGGCCACTGCTATCCTCAGGGCTGCTTCACATAGCATAGCAGTCTAGGTTTTTTTTTCTACTACATGTGCTGTCAATAGCACCATAGTGGTTTGCAGCCTCTGAGACTCCATAAATTGTATGCGAGTGGGGCGAGATTTTTGAGGACACTAGCATCACATGCAGCAAGTCTGCATAGTATTTCTGACTGTTGTCTTTGAAATACACTCTAAATTTTATTAATTTTAAAAAAACATGCCTTGTTTCTCTATCTTTAATTGAGGCTTAGTAAAACTGATTTCATAATGTGCAGTGAGTCTGTATAATATTTCTGGCCGCTTTCTCTTAAATAATACACTCCTCATCTCTTTCTCCTACATTGCTGCCGAATCAATCTGCTTACATGCTCTCCAGTCATGTAACTATGTTTGGCTATTGACTTTGAAATATGGCACTCTAATTTTTATTTCAGCATAACAATCACCTCAACTCTGGAATGTGGATATTTGGTTTTGAAGTGTTTTCATGCACTATGTTTTGACCATTTATGGAACAGTTATGACAATACAGCATGGAAAGGCAAATAAGAAAGATCACAAGCTATCCTTTTAAACTATTTACCACTGTTTTGCAATTAGCATGAAGTTTAGAGATGCAGCTGTAAACCTTCCTATAGCTTTTAGAACTGTGGTTACTGCTACTTCCACTGCTTAAATCTGGGCTATTACTACTAGATTAAAAATAAGATGCCACAGCCAAAATTACCCAAAAAGCCTGTTGTTGTATTTAAGTTAAGAAATAATGTAAAAGTGAAATAATCTATTATACATGTTAAATATGTGATGCTAGAATATGATGTTGCTGATGCTGTCCATGAAAACCATATAATGCCAAAACAGCCCATACAGCTACAGGCATCTTCCAAGCATGAACTGTATAAGATAGGAATGGTGTGCCCCATGTCATCTTTGAAGTCAGATAAAAATATAGTATATAGTATATTTTAAAATTATTTTTACATTGGCATATGTCCCCCATTGTCCAGCTCCCCATGCTTTTTGTTTCACCTTGCCCATTAGGTTTAAAAATAACAAGAATCTATTTTAAAGATTCACCACCTTCCATAGATCTCAATGGGGCTTGGATTAAAGTTCCAGAATTTACAATAAGTTCAACAAATGGCCCAAAAATTGAACCTGGACACATTCGCTCATCACTAATAACAAAAATATATTCAATTAT